AGCTTGTTATAAGTTATCACGGCCGTGGGCTAAAATCAGCCTGGGCTCCACACAAATAATTGGGGCTGGAGGAAGACAGTTTTTGCGATCCTCATCAGCGGTGGATCGCGGTTGATGTGCTTCAATGTCGTTCAACTAGATTAACGCATTTGAATGAAATCGTATAATGGAAGTAACAATGAAATGAAGCAATGAGGAGGAGGAAGCTTCGGCTTGCCTACAACAAACGTCCGAAAAGCGTTCACCTCAGATAAATGACAACTGACAGCAAAAACTTCACCAAATTTTGTCAGCCAACATATTCGTTAGTGTCTCCTCCCAAAGAGTGAGGCCTCCTTCAAGAAAATAGCTCGATACGCATTATTTTTCTCGACGCTTGCGATTTGTTTTGCGTTGACCATACTACCAAAGCTAGATTGTAAGCGAGATACCCACCGCGCACTTTGACATCGAAGGGCGTGGCTCAGGACACATCCCTCGCAAATTTCCCGTAGGATTTAACAACTTTCTAATGGATGTATAGGTGTGCTGCAACCCAAACAAAAGTAATCGAATTCTGACCATCCATCCAATGTTCGAGTGCCCGAGCATACTAGGCGAACAGATTTCTTTTCAAGAATTTGGGCTACTTATCAGAAAAATACCCTTGGTGTCGTGATATGAGTAGATAAGTTTGTTTCTTTATCACTTCCACTGGATTGTCGTATAATGGAAGTAACAATGAAATGAAGCAATGAGGAGGAGGAAACTTCGGCTTGCCTACAACAAACGTCCGAAGAGCGTTCACCTCAGATAAATGACAACTGACAGCAAAAACTTCACCAAATTTTGTCAGCCAACATATTCGTTAGTGTCTCCTCCCAAAGAGTGAGGCCTCCTTCAAGAAAATAGCTCGATACGCATTATTTTTCTCGACGCTTGCGATTTGTTTTGCGTTGACCATACTACCAAAGCTAGATTGTAAGCGAGATACCCACCGCGCACTTTGACATCGAAGGGCGTGGCTCAGGACACATCCCTCGCAAATTTCCCGTAGGATTTAACAACTTTCTAATGGATGTATGGGTGTGCTGCAACCCAAACAAAAGTCATCGAATTCTGACCATCCATCCAATGTTCGAGTGCCCGAGCATACTAGGCGAACAGATTTCTTTTCTAGAATTTGGCCTACCTATCAGAAAAATACCCTTGGTGTTGTGATATGAGTAGATTTGTTTGTTTCTTTATCACTTCCACTGGATTTAAGGAAGATATGAATATATTCAGAAGGATGTACACCCAACTTGCCCACGCGTCTGTGGCCGAGGAAGCCACCTTCGTCACAGAGTAGTTCATATCATTTGGGAATTCGGGGATTTATTATGCGAATGCGGGATCAAACAGCCGTGCTACCGTTCTCAAATATCATGACAGAGATGATACCCACATGATAACATGGGTTAAACCAGAGAAACGCACCCCATGGATTTATCAGTTCTATAGTCCTCCAATACATTTTGCACATCTGAACATACGTTTCAAACTCTGATTTGGCCACTACCGCCCTGTTAAAATCTGTATTTCATGCCCGAAATCCCACAGCACTTCCCTAGGCTATTTTGGAATAGGGAGGAAACAGCAATCATGAGCTCGCGAAATTAAGAAATCGAGCAGCTGCCATATCAGTAATAGACGGATGTTCTTCAACCGAATTATATTTACTCCGTCAACTGCTTGGTTAAAATCATAGCAATATGCAGGCAGTTCATCAGCAGTTTTGTTATGATTGTCACCAGGCAGCTTCAGTACTGTTCAATCAAGAACTCACCAACTTGTGGTTAGAAAATACAAACCGGCTTGAAAGAATTTCCTGGTCCATCCAGGGGACTATTCTTTTTCCTTTCTAGTACAGAGTGCCAATATTTTATTTGTTTCTTCAAAGTGTTGAAAATCTTGGTAGGTTTTCATCTCCGCCGTTTGATGGCTTGTATTTTCCATGGCACTGATACGCAACACCTCTCCAGTTATTTCAGTTGTTTGGCTGCTATTCACCCTTTCTGAACCATGTTCTCAGGGTCTTCTGTTTATGCTGTACCCTTAAGCCTTATTCGCAAATCGATTATCGCCTGATTTCTTTCTATCTTTTTCCTCCGATTTCTTTGACATATTTGCATGAGAATAATGTCTAGTAATGTAGTCACTGAAACACGCCTAGACGTATAATGAAACAGCCAAAGCAGCATTTTTCAGCCTTGTATTCGACATGGACTTGAGGGTCTGTGAATTTGTGCCTTGGAAAATGTTTTTGACGTTATCACGAATTGTGTTAGTGCTGTCACGCCCAGGTCTGGCCTACGCGCTCGGTTTAAATGCAGGATGTCTAACGGAGTTGAAACTCGACTGTATCCGCATGTACGTCTATCACATGAGCTTATGTGTCTCCACCTCTCTCTCTTCCTATCACACGTACCATGGTTGAACCACCAGGAGCCCCGGACAAGAAAGAGTATCCGCTTGTACACCCCCTACTGACCTTGACCTAGATTTCGTACTCCCGACTTCCGGTTTCGGTTCCGGCTGAATACACATGTGTCGTTACCACGCTCCGGTGTTCTCTCCTGTCCCGCCCGACCTGTGCGCATGTGTGCTGTGTATACCGTGTGAACTCAT